AGGGAGGGGGGGCTGGCACGGAAAGGTTATCCTGCTAGGTGTCCACACTGCAATACAGCGGCTGGGAAGGAGGGTGGAACAGCCCGGCTTTGTTATCCCGGGGATTTGGTCACACACAAGAGCCGGTTTCTCGGTGCCTGGGAAGCTCCTTCCACAATGAGTCGGGACGAGCTGATCCGGTAACGCGGCTCCACGACCTCCCGGGAGAGCGCTGGGACTGTTCCTGCGTGGGCAGGAAGGGCAGAATCCTCTGAGGGATCCGTTCCTCGGGCTGAAGGGACACCTGGTTCCTTGGAGGGTGGCCCGGAGCTGTGGACCAGTCACTGAGCCCCGCAGAGGGGGGACAGGGACCTTCCATCCTGCTACAGCCACCCCCTGCATCCCGCGGGGCTCCTGGGATGAGCAGCCAGGATTCAGGGCTGAGCTAGTCCAGCCTGAGGTCCCACCCTGCACAACCCTTTCCCTTGCCAGCCAATAAATAGTTACCCAAGATACAGCATCAAGCAGGGGAATAACCCCAGAGCCCTCTGAGACCCACCAGCACCATACAATGTGCTTAAAAAGATCAGACTCCATGAAATTCCACAGAGCTACAGGGTTGTTTTAAATCATTCTTCTAATAAGTCTCTGCATCAACACATACATTTTTATGCTTTCTTTGGAGCAACTTTTAAAATGCTAGAAATAATAAATAGAGCAATAAAAGCAGTGCAGAACATTAATAACTTAACTCCAAGTCCTGCCTAACACTGGGCATCCACAGGCAGCTGATAACTCTTCATTTTACACCCTGTCCTGGCATCCCTTCCCAGTCAACTCTGAACACAAGTCATGCTGTAATTTTTAAGCCACTCTGCCTGTAACACAGGTTTGATGTCTTGAGATCCCCAGGCTCTTTTCTGAGCAGATCAATGCTCCCAACTCCCCAGCAGTCCTCCATGCTGTGCAGAACAAGGCCCCTGGATAGCAAAGCAGACCATGCTCTTCTCTGCAGGGATTTAACATAAGCAGCACTTGGCAGATTATTTCAATTTTCCCTCTAAAAAATCAGATTAGCAACAGGCTTTTTCCCTGGGGTTTTGGTAAAGGGAAACCACAAACAATTATCAAATCACACTGATTAAAAATTTATCTTCCAGACTTGTAAGTGCCAAAACACAGTAAATTCTTGATTACCCCAGAAGGTTGGAGCGATCGCTGCTGAAATTGGTCACTGCTGCTCCAGAAACACAAGTGCCATCACTGAAACCACAGGAGAAGTTGGAAGTTGAAGGCCTGGACCTGCAGCTGAGCAGCCTGCAGCAAAACTGTCAGAGACTCAACAAACAGCCCCAAACCTCTGGATACAACATCCAGTGGAAAGCAAGGCAAAGGTTTTGTAAACACTCCCCATCAGCATGAGGCTGCTGAGCTAAACCTGAAACAACTACAAGGGTTAAACAATGCCAGTGACATCCCACCAGTCCAGGCAACAACTCCCATAGCCATAGACAAACCCACCACTGTGAGTTCCAGGGAGATGGAAGGAGCTCCAGCACCACTCGCCGAGCAGCCATACAATGATCTATTTGATTACTGAATCACTCGGTTCAATTACTGGGGCTTGTTTCAGGAGGAAGCTGCCAAATACATTTTCAGTTTTTAATTTAGGGTTTCTCTCTTTTATGCTCCATTGTCTCTAATAGCCTCTTAGATGCTTGAAAATAAAGTTGATTTCCCTGCCAATTTAATCCTCTCTCCGTGTGACAAATACCATCATTCCCCCAGTTGCTTTCTCCCACATGCACCGTTTTTATGCAGAATAAACCAACAGGGCATTAATGCCTTAAGATCTTCTAGCAGCTTTAGCAATAGGATCATCAAAATAGCCAGTAATTTGGGGCAAGATTCTTGTTTAACTTGAGGTCTTCTTCCTGCAACAGCTCTAAAGGATGACACAGCCCTGCACCAAGTGTGGCTCATGTAAGTCTGCCCCCTGTACATCACACCTTTGTGAGCTACTACTTGGCAGCAACTTCAAGACACAGACTAAGACAGCTCTTGGAAATTAAAAAAAAAGGCTGTTTTACTCATGTTAGGACATAAAAAGCCCCTTAAGCTAAAGAAAAATAGGTCCTGCCACACTCCGTACCCCTCGTGGTTTGCTCTTGGCCCACTTGCAGCTTCCTTCCTTCTGCCTTTCCTAATCCTTCCACGAGCCCATCTCCAGGAGTCCCAAAAGGACAGAGAGTCAAATCCTCTGGAAAAAGTGAACTGGTTCTGGAACCCACCTACTTTCCACCTACTGCCTGTTACCAGGAAAAAGGAAATGACCACGTAGGTATTTGATCCAACAACATGATCATCACTGCCCTATGAACACTGACTGCCCTGGGCAACTACGGAGCACAGCTTGTTTTATTCATATCAATATTTATAGGTATTTCTTCATATGATTTTCTACTTCCCCTCACCTCTGGGATATATATAAAAATGCCTAAACAATTAAAAATATAGCTGGGTCCAATGTCCCAGAGAGAAGCAGCTGCTCTACAAAAAGGAGGACAAAGACAAAAATAACCTAGAAAAAAAGGAAGAATGGGTAAGGGAGGCCAAAATGGCCCAAAATAAGCTTGATGGGTAATGAAATCAGTTAAAATGGGGTTAGAAGTGCAGGTCTTCAGTGTTTTTACT